CTTAAGGCTTGGGGCTGCCCTTTTAGTTCAAAAAGCCCATCATTCAAAATGCAAAATAATTTAATAAAGGGATTAAAACTTTCACAGCATCCGAAATGTCAGCTCTTTATAAAGACTTTGGAAATTATCTGGGAAGATAGAAGCTCAGAGGTTAAAAGACTCACCCAAGGTTACACAGCTTGAAGAGGCAAAGCCAGATTTCACACTGACCCTTGTAACTCAGAGTTCAGTGCCCCCTCTGCTGTGCTGCACTGCCTAATAGGTGATATCATTTCACGTGTCAAGTGGTTAGATTTCCAATAAGCTTCACTGTTAAGAGCATGGTTGATGGGTTGGTTAAATGTTTGGTTAGCCAAAGATCAATCAAATAGCCACTGTTGTTTTAACCTTTATGGTTAAGAACCTTTAAAAAGTATTCATCACATTTTCTGCTTCCTTAGAGGAATTCTGGGAGATTCATACCATTTTAGAATTGGAATGAACATTAATTGTTCAGGATCTTGCAGTCATAATTCTGATCCCTGGGTCATAATTCTGAAGCAAGCTTTTACTTAATATCATTATAAAACATAAAAGCCATCCAGCTGACCTTGGGATATATCTGAGGCTTAGTTTAAAAAAATGCATTTCTGATTTGGTTTGCTTTGTTTCTTGGGCACTGCCACTAAGAATTTCCCATTTAATTAATTTTTTAAAAATAATATTGGGTTTTCTGGTCATATGCTGTCATTTGGGCCTAAATTCTGTCTGTGGTGTCTAAGTTTGTAGATGTTACTGTCACTTTGAGATGCACTGTCAAAGTGACACGGGATTGGACCAGAAGTCACTTGTACAGGTGAGAACTTGGGCCTCAGAACTAAGCCGACAATGGTATCAGCGAAACCATTTCTCCTTCACTTACACACTTCTGCAAGTTTCAGTGTTCATATCTTTTCCAGCAACAGGGGCAGGTTGTACATTCTCTGGGAGCACTCAGTGGAGATTATAGGGATACATTATTTTTTCTTTTCACTAAGCCAGAATTGGCAGTGGAAGCTGTGTCTGAGCTGTAGGCTGCTTTAGAAATGGAAAGAAATATGTATATCTAGTACATTTCTTTTTCTGTCCTCTCTCTTTCTACAGAGAAGTTGCAGTGCGAGAAAGACATAGGTCCTAGTAGGAAATGGTCAATGAGCCCAGTACAGCAGCCCAGTCTTATTCACCAGCTACCTTGGAATCATCCACTCTCTCGAGGTCTAACCAGTTTTTTTGAGCATTATTAATATTGCCTTCAAATAGTTGTACAAAGAATTTTAAACATGTCCATTTATATGTAAGATGCTTCTTGATCAGTGTTGTATCCCTTATTGTTTTCCGTCTCCCTCCATTGATGCTAACCCCACCCATTCCCTCAAGTTTCTAGTTCCACTTTCACATAGATGTACATTGAGGATTTTGACTGCATGCATCCACAATTATTCTTCATGCATCCATACCTCTCCCCTTTATCCCTACCCCCCTCAGACATGAGTCAGCTTCCTGGTACTCATTTTGTTAAACTGTTACTTCTTCACAGGGGTTACACCATGGAAATCTACCCCCATGCATAACATGTTTTAGTTAATTTAATCATGCGTATGTGCTTATGGCTCTGTATTTTCATATATGTTTATATTATAGGTGTAACTTTCACATATGAGAGAAAACTTGTGCCTTTTGTCTCTCTGAACCTCACTTATTTCATTCAATACTATTTGTTTCCAGGTCCATCCATTTACTGCAAATGACATAATATTATTTTTCCAAGTGGGAATAAATGTAGAAAGCTCAACCTAAATTTGCTTCTGGATGGCATGTATCATTACAATTCAGTTCCTAATGTCCTTGCTCAGAACATTAGGGGAGAAAACTCTGAAGCTATAGACATGAGACATGAAATTTAGCATGGCTATACATTTCACAAAGGAATATGACTAAAATGGGTTGCATAGGGCTGCCACGCTGTTGAGAGGCAGGAATGATAAACTCCTCACTTTGAGGTTACACCTGGGGTTGGGGTGGGTGGAGACTAGTGTTTCTTTGAATTCAACTGTGACTTCTGCTCAGTTCCCTTGAAGACAGGGCAGATAGTATTGATTATTTTGGCTAGAGTGGGCAGTTACTAGGGTTTTCTACATAGACACTCTACCATTGGAGCCACACCTCAACTTTTTCTCCTCCTCCTCCTCCTCCTCCCCTCTCCCTCCCCTCCCCTCCCCCCTCCTTCTTCTTCTTGCATATGATTTCACTTTTTACCCAGGGCTGGCCTGGACTGCAATCCACCTATTTATGCTTCCCACTGTAGCCGAGATGACAGGCACATGCCACATCCAGATATTAGGCTTACTTTTAAATGCAAGATTGTCTTCCTATCTGCCCCAACCATTTAATGTTGTGTTCTTATAGGACTGGACTCCAGGCAGCAGATGAGGGAACTGTGAGCAATCGATGATTTCTTTCACAGAAAAAAAGGACTCTGATTTGCTCTTCCAGCTGCCAGGAGTTCTGCCAGTAGAGAACTTTCTTCCAGCTGCTTTTTGGTAAGGGGAATGCCTCAGTGACTCAAGGGCACTGGCCAGCACCAGTGATGGGGTCACATGGGTGTGTACAGGCCCATCTCCCAGCCTCAGCTCAGTACAATTCTGAAGCATCAGCCCAGCTTCAGAATCCTCTCTGAAGGATGACAAAGGCTTGGTGAGTTTTGCCCCACTGTGCACCCCCACATGGACCTGACTTTGTCTTTCCACCAATGTTAACTATGAGAGCACGTCCTCATAAACCCCTTTGTTTCTAAACATCATCCTGCAGTTTGCTTCTTGGAGAACCCAATCTATATAGAAATCTTATGAGCAATTTGCCTGTCCATCAGAAACTATAGCATAGATTTATGGGAGATGGACTTTTTTTTTTTGGGTCCGGTCGTGGGGCCTGAACTCTGGGCCTGGGCACTGTCCCTCAGCTCTTCAGCTCAAGGCTAGCACTCTACCACTTGAGCCACAGCGCCACTTTGGATTTTTTTCTTATGTGGTGCTGAGGAATCGAATCCAGGGCCTCGAGCATGCAAGGCAAGTGCTCTACCACTGAGCCACCTTCCCAGCCCGGGAGATGGACTTTTTAATGAAAAATGAAGGGTTAAATGGAGACAAGAAGCAAAAGTAGACTAGGAATAGTGAATCTGTCGCCTCTATATCTGAACCGGGGACGTGGGCTGATATCTTGTGTGAAGATTACAAGCTGTCATTTGAGGTCAGTCCAAGAGTTGATGCTGTGGGGAGGAAAAGGGGAAAGGAAGAGAAGAATGACTGACATGTATGCTTATTTGTGCTTTGCATTAAAGCTTTTGCAGTTTTTCTTTTGCCTTTATAAGCAACTGGACATGAAGACCTTTTTCAGACCATTTCTTTGTCTCCCTGTGCCTGTGTGGCTGTGACAGGGACTATGGAGGAAGCCCATGCATGTAAGTGGGCAATGGCAACTATAACCATTTCAGCTGAAGGCATTCTCAGTCTGGGTCCTCACTAAGGGGAGGGAAGGAGGTCATTGTTGACTGGCCAGCCCAGGGTGTGAGGAAAAGCAGTTGTCAGTGAGAGACTGGATGGGGTAGAAGGCAGGGTGAAACTTGAGTGATAACCAGAGAAGAGGCGAAAACTTGGGGGAGAAACCCCTAAACTATCCACGCAACGTCTTTCCCTTCTTTCTATCTCCCATAAGGATGGACGCATTTAAAAACAGGTTCCTGTGTGGGGTTTCCCAGACCTTGGCAGGAACTTCCCACATGTTGAATAGTAGGAATGAGGCCAGGGCCCCATCCAACTCCACCTTCAGACTATGTGGGTCGGGGGTAGGGGCGCAGGTGGAGGCTGAGCGAGTGTACTGAGGAAGTAGGAAGTCTCTTCTTAATGCCCAGTGTGTTTAGAGACCTGCAAGCCCATGTGGTTGGGCCTTGGTTGTAGGTTCCCCAGGAAGGGCATCTGGGTGTTTGGCTCAGGAATGTGTGAAAATGTGTTTATGAGAATCAGAGATTCGGGAACCCTTCATGGCCTGCCCCGAGTGTGTGGAGGCCGGGGAAGAAGGGCTGGGGCATTAGGGGGCGGTGTGGACGTGGGTGCAGGAGGCGCGAGGCCTCCGGCGGGCGGAGGGAGGGGAGGGCGCCGAGGCGTGGTGCCAGTGCTGCGTACCGGGGCAGGGGCCGAGCCCAGTGGCGGGCACGGTCTGCCCAGGCGGGGAGAGCGCGGGGAGCAGCGGGACCCAAGCTGGGGGTGGGGGGCACCTGAGGAGGGCGAAGGGAAGGGGCGCGCGCAGACGGAAAGTGGAGAAAGACAGTGCGTGCGTGCGGGCGCCCTGGCCCGGGGCTTGGGCTGCGGGCGGGTGCT